CCAGAAGCAGAGCACAGACCACAGTAAAGTTCTCCTCTGTTCCGTTCTCTGAACGCTGAGAGCAGTAAGGAAAGGAACCAGCAAAGTGTGGAGTGAGCAGAGGTTGCTGGTCTACATGGAGTAAGGGAAGAAGCCAGTTCCATAAAGTGAACAAACAGCAAGGGCTAATGGAGACTGCAGCAAACCAGAACCACTCTAGGGTGTTTCGTCGCCATTCTGACACCAGTGAGAGCATGTGAGATTATGGGAGAAGGTCAAAATGCCAACATTGAGAGGACTTTAAAGGAGATGTTATCAGACCCATGGATGCTTTTAGGGCTTCAACTACAGTAAAGGAAGTAACTGCCGAGCTGGGGGACACAGCAGAGGCCTGCAAGTCAAGCACAGAGGTTTAACTGAGACACTGCCAGCTCACATTAAGATTTTAACAGACAGAGTTACGTCTTGTGATGAGCTAAACATGGGTTCCCAAGATGAAATCCACAGTCAAAGAAGCTGTGGACACTTTAGAAAGACAAATTTAGACTATTGCTTGGCTAGCACAGAGGTGTGAGAGGATGGACCCCAGTGTTGAAAGAAGTTCTGTCGGGGTAAAACATTACCAACCAGTATCACATAGATTGATCCTGCAAACATCACTGACCTTCCCCTTGAGAAACAGCCACAGCTACTGCAGCCTTTACCAGCGCCGGGAGCCATTGAACAAGCAGAACTCTCCACCAGCAAAAGAGACTCAGTAACTACTCAAGTGATCGTTTATCATTATGTAGCAATTAAATGTTTTTAATTAAGATATATACATTCTTATTATAATGTTATTGCCTGTTTAAAAGTATAATTGAACGTTTATACAATTTTGTATTAACATTGTCATGTGTTCTGGGAAACTGGAAAAATACACATAACTTACTATATTGCTTACTATATTACTATTTTTATTTCATTGCAACCACCTAGAATTAAACTTACAGTATCTCCAAGATTATACCTATATTATACTTAATATGTTGGATATATTGCTTTGCTCAAACTAAATAATTGGTCACATGTTGAAAGTAAAATTAATTCTTATAGTGCCGTCCTTGTATCATTTTAGCATACCTAATTATTTTACTATGTCCACCATTCTTCTTTCTTCTCCTTATGATTTAACATGTATACTGAAATCTGAAATTCTCCAAAAAAGAGAAAAGCAAGATAAGAAAACAACTCTGTAGAATACTGCCTTCTAATCCCACTGGAAACCTTATGTTACAGTAGCCAAAATATTCTTTATACGTACCAGGCTCATCAAAGCAATTGCTAGGACCCTGATGTCTGTCTCGGTCTGTTCTGGCAATACTTAACTTTACAAACAACGCACTGTATGACTGGTAACCATCATCCTAGACTTTTCTACAAATATGGTTCTTACAATTTAGGTAAGTGGCGTCATTGTAATGAAAGTGTTTTGTTTTGTTTTGTTTTTTCCTAGCAAAAATGAGTGGATTCCAATGTCCTAATTTGGGGGTATAATGGGGCTAAAATAAAGTTGTGCATGGAATCCAATACAGAAACTCCTCCAGAGTGATACACTATGGTTGGAGCAGAAAAGAGAGGGTCACTTCTCCATCGATCTCTTTATATAGCCCCTGTGGCACAAATCCTGAAAACTATTGATGTTATCAAGAGCCATGAACACAGAAAAGAATAACTTTAACATTTTAAAGATCTATTTCTGGATAATTATAGCCATCAAGATTATATACACAGATACTTAAAATAATGAAATAGAAAAGAAAGCATACAGGTTAACATTTATTCTAGGTTAAAAAAAAAAAAACTAACCTGCCCATTTTATTAGCCTGGCATAATGTCCACAGAATACCTAAACACTGTGTATAATCTTCAAGTATTATTCACATATACAAATTTTATAGGTTAATAAAATGCATTAAACTTGGTTACAAAAGTAGATTATTAAATCAAGAGCTACTACCAAATGTCTCCTTACTAAAAAGGAAATTTCACTGTAGCATTAGTCCTTAAGAATATTCTTTTAGGGCAGAGAGACGGCTTGATTGCTAAAGTGCCTGCTGTGCCGGGGTGAACCCCAAGTTACGATTACCAGCATCCACCCAAAACCTGACTGTGATGACACACATCTGAAATAAGCCCAGCACTGGGGGGAAAGGACAGGTTTGATTGTTAAAGTGCCTGCTGTGCCAGGGTGAACCCCAAGTTACGATTACCAGCATCCACCCAAAACCTGATTGTGATGACACACATCTGAAATAAGCCCAGCACTGGGGGGAAAGGACAGGTAGATCCTTGAAGTTCCCAGTCCAAGCCAACTGATGAGCTCCAGTTCATAATCCATCTCCCCCAGCCCATCTCAAAAAGCAAACAGCAATCTCAGAAAGCACACATGGACAGACACACACCCACATAAACACAGGCACACAGAGAATACTATGAATGTATACAATATCATTTTATAGAGTTGTCACCCCAGGAAGCAGACAGATGCAAACATATCTTTATAAAGAAAATGAAATTGATAACTAGACAAGCTAGGTGATTTACCAAGAATAACACTAACTGAGAGTAGGGAAGTGCTCATAAATTCATAAATTTAACTGACTGTAAGATTTAATTCCCTCTAAAAATTATCCTGTCACAGACTGCATGTTCGTTGTGTTCACCAAAATTCCTAGGTGAAGCCCTAACCCCCAATGTGAAGGACGAGGAAGTGTGGGCACGGCACACTCACACATTCTTGCTCTAACTCTGCCGCAGGAAAAACCAGCAAGAAGGTAATCGTCTGTACGCCAGGACAAAGGCCCTCCAAGAACCTGATTTTTCTCGTTTCTGATCTAAGACACCCAGCCTCCAGAAGTGCTGGGTGGCAGGGGGTGCTTTGGTCACTACAGCTGTTGGCATTTGCCAAAGAAATAGTCAAGTGTGCTAGTAGACGCACACAGCGTTTCTCTGCACACCCACTGGCCATCATGTCTATACTGGATGTAAGATTGGACAAGAAATGTGGTATGCAGCTGTCAGGCCTTGGGCGGCTCTAAAACTCAGTGAGCTCTATTTACAAAAGGAAACAATCAAAGCTAGAAAGACACTGGCCTCTTCCAAAGAGTCCAACAACTATCACTCCTGCACAATGAAGTCTGACTATTTATGTTGCTCTCAACAAAACCCCAGTGACTCAGGCACAGTAAACAAAGTAACAGCGCGCCCCGCTGACAAAGGAGCTGCTAAGAAGGCATAGATACCGCCACATCCTGAAGGCCGCTCTCAGATTTACCATTCTATACATTTGCACATAAAGGGAATTTGTAATGTTTTGATTTTTATTTACTTCAAAAATATTTTCTTTTTACACTTTTTCCAAATAAACTTAAGAGATAAATGCTTTCCAAAACACTTCTATACAATCAAGAGTTTGTGGTAGTTGGATTACCACAAGTTTGAGTCCAGCCTGGACTACATGAGTTAGTTCCAAGCCTACAGTGTGAAATCCTGTTTCAAAAAATAATAAGTACAAATTACATTATATGGAAAATATCAGAAGCAACCAAGAGGTCCTGATCAATCAACAGATAAACTAAAAAGAAATTAGCTATGTCATTCAAAGACATGGAAGAAAATGTAAACACATATTGCCAAGTAAAAGAAGCTACTCATTATAACCTACACTCTACATGATGTCTGCTACAGTCATGAATCACCAAAATAATGTTCCCACCAACAAAAGACCATGTAATACAACCATGGTAACAAAGATTGTAGCACCTAGCAAGAGGTTAGTTTGTACACTCCATCTTAGTTTGTACACTCCAAAATTATGTAACAATTCATTTCTCAGAATATACCCCCATAATGCCATACACACATGGTATACTACATTCCAAAGAGGACAAAACTATGCAGACAGTGTGTATGTGTACGATGCTTAGGCCAGAGAGAACCACTGCTACGGTATTGCTGGAACACATGCTCAGTGCACCTCTGCACCGGGTAATGTGGGAGTCAATGTTCCCTCTGTCAAAAACTCTCATATCAGCACAAAGGGTACCTCTCTGCAAACGTCGTCAGCAAAGTAGCTGACGACCCCTTAGCTCAACTCCACAGTGAGAAATACATGACCATAAACCCAGATGCTTAAGAAACCCAAACTCCTCAGTGTGGTTTAAAGCTAATCCTGATGACAAACAGATTTCAGAATTCTTTACTTGGAGTCCAACTTTTACAACAGGCAGCTAAATAAACTTTTACTTACTGAAAGTCTATGTTATTTTTAAAATAGCCACAAGGGGTCAGTCTCTCCTAAGAAATAATTTGAAATGATCCTGTGCCTGCCTGTGAGACAGCATTTATTTTCGAAATACAGTATGTTGTTACCCTTTATGAAGTGAATTTGAATACACCACATATTAAATCCAGTGAAGTCATCTAATGTCTGAAGAGCCAACCAAAAGAATTACAGACGATCATAACGATCCTATACCTACAATTTTACATTTAATGTGTAACTTTCGTTTAAGCTCTAAAAAGGCATGTAGACAAGTCTTGACCAATTCTGTTTGTTGCAGAATAATCTTTTTGTACACTGTGAAGATCCGTAATTGCCAAAGCACCTGCTGATTGGTTTAATACAGAGCTAAATGGCCAATAGCTGGGCAGGAGGTATAGGCAGGACTTCCAGACAGAGAGAACTCTGGGAAGAAGAGAGGCAGAGAGGCCATGGAGACATGGACACATGGAAAGCAAGAAAGGTAAAGGCCACGTGATAGAACGTAGATTAACTAAAAATATGGGTTAATTTAAGCAGTGGGATAAGTCTAAGGTAAGTTCGAGCTTTCACAATTAGTAAGTCTCCATGTCATTATTTGGGAGTTGGTTGGCAGAGCAGAGAAAGACTGATTACAGCTATCTGTGAAAATGCAGATTACTAAGACGTTAACTGTTAATCTAAACATACCAAAAAAGAAAAAGAAAAAGAAATGAGACCTGGATTTACAAACTCAAACCAAGGAATGTAGAATTTCCAGTGCCATTCCATACCCCGCACGCTTACCTTGCCAGCTATCGTTGCAGACACAGAGTTTTTCTCCTGTCAGGTCACAGTAGCCGTGATCGGGGCTGCCACAGTTGGCCTTACAGTAGGGAATATCACAGGCTTCCCCTTTCCAGTATTTATCACACTCACAGTACACTTGGCTTGCAACGAGGACACTAGCTGTACACTTTCCATGGCCAGAGCAATTGTTAGGACAGGAATTGATTCTGTAAAACAGAACCCACAAGCTCACACGTCATTCATATATCCAAACAAGACAACTAAAAATTAACTGAGTGAAGTTTTTGTAGACTTGATGTTCATATTTTTATTTGTGTTGTTGAAGTTAAAACAATTTCACAGTGTGGCTCTATTCTTTGTTCTATACCCTGTTTTTAGAGACAGGGTCTCAGTCTGTAGTTCAGGCTGGTCTCCTGCCCCAGCCACCTGGGGGCTGCCCTGCAGTGTGAGTCCTCACTCCATCCCCTGCCTTTCACTCCTCCTCATTTCAGTCGTCACCTATTTGTCACAGTTCACCCAATAAAAGTATTTTCCCCAAAATCCAATGTGCCAGGACTACAGGTTCAAGGCTCTGAAGCCTCTGTGCAGTCCCAATCATGATGTCTATAAAGCCTTAAAAAACATTTTTAATATATATTCTAAGGAAAAGAGAAGTTTATGAACTCCTGAAACTTAAAAGAAACAAGAAATGATGAGGCTCTAACCTTAAGACACAGTTCACCCCTATATATCCAAAAGAGACATGTTTATCACATTTTATTTTAATGCCCTTTAACTGACTATATTCTAATATATACATATATTTTCCTGTGTATGCATATTTGGAAACATTATAGTATAAAGAAATCCTACAATAAATTGATGATTCAAATGTATTTTAAAGACTTTATTCCTGGTGAAATTTTTTCTGGTGAACAATTTATGTCTTCATGAAGAAAAGAAAAAATTGACAAGTTATTCTGTGGGTCATCCCTCTAAAGCACCTCAGAACAACTCTCATCCTTTCACGCCTCGACTTCCAGATATAAAATATCTGTTGGATGTAAAGACAGACCGACCTCAAGACAATAGCAGATGGCATCAATGCCTCACACCTCACACTCAACAGAAAGGTCACCCAGACGAAAATTGTCAAACTTGAATGACATAACAGACATCTATATGACATTCTAACCCAGACATGCAGTCATGTATCCTTCTCAGCAGCCCCTGGGAACTTTCCTCTAAAATGGAACACAGTTTAGGACACAGGACAGTCTTAACAAATAAACAGTCTTAGCAAATTAAACAGTGTCTCGTACTCTCTTTGACCACAATGAGATAAATAGAAACCAACAGGAGATCAGTCAGGAAAACATACAAATTCATGGAAGATTGGAAAACACACATTCCAGAATGAATTTTAAAATACCTATAATCAAATCAAAATGAAAACTCAATATACCAGAACCTTTGTATTAAAATGAAAGCAGTTATCAGAAATAAATTAATTGTTATAAATACCATTCATTAAAATCATAAAAATCTCACATAAAAAAAACTTAATGATGGAACTTGAAGTCTTAGAAAAACAAGAACAAACCTAAACCAAAACCAGTAGGTGGATGGAAAAAACATAGTAAGTGTCAAGGAAGAAATTAATAAAATAGAAATGAACAATATAATGAATAAATAAAATAGGATGGGTTCCTCAAAGAGGTAAAGGTGATAAAGTCTTAACCAAGCTAACAAAGAAAGACCCAAATTAATAAAATCAGAGCTGAAGAGAAAAACAATACAATAGACACCAATAATGCCCAGAAGATCACAGAAGCACATTTGAAAACCTATATTCCAATAAACTAGAGATCTGGAAGAATGGGTAAACTCCTAGAGACATATCAAAATGAAAACTGTAGGTAGCATTTCTGTCCCGCCTGGTCCCACATCCATTTAGCCCCAAATAAACACACAGAGACTTACAGAAACTGTTCGGCCAATGGCTCAGGCTTCTTACTGGCTAGCTGTCTCTTAATTATTAACTTGTAACTACTAGCCTATGCATTTCTACATGGTCTTATCTTACCAGAGAAGGTCCGGCGTCCTGTCTTCCCAACAGCTACATGACATCTTTCTCTGGCAGCTTCTCTCTGCCTTCCTCTCCCCAGAATTCTCCCCATCTCCTAGCCCTACCTGGACTTCCCACTTGGCTACTGGTCAATCAGTGTTTTATTTATCACCCAATAAGAAACATATATACAGAAGGACATTCCCATGAGAAGACTATATGAATAGTTTAAACAGATCTAAAACAAGCAATGACACTGAGTACAAGTGACCCAACTAGAAAGTCTTCAGCCCAGATGGACTGTTGGATTCCACCCACCTTTAAAGAGTACCAGTGACTTTCCTCAGAGCATTCTACAGATAGAAAGTTTTGTACAGTGTCAGACACATAACAGTTTTTTAATGAGGATTGTTTTTATTATTTTAGAAAAAAAGACGTGTAGCCATATAGTTTATCTCCTATGCCTTAATCCATGGCTGTCATGGCAAAACTGTTGTAAAGGAGAGTAAACCTCATAATGTAGGTGCAGCACCTAGGATGTCTCTGTCAGAGACTGCCAGGCCCTGACTCCTACAGGCCTCTTCAAACACAACAGAAGTTTAGGGTTCCCTGAAATCCATGTATATGTTGCTGAATGTGTAAAACAACTCTCGTACTGTTTTACTTAATTATATACTTAACCAAACAATTTTATATTTTGTAATTAACTTTTCAACCTCGCAATTTTCAACTATAAGATCCTCCAGACTTGAAAATTATCATAAGTCAGACTTAGAGGGCAATCTGTAGTACACTACTAATACTTTACATCAAGTAGAAAAAGATCCTATATAAGCTGAAATTTAATACACCAACCTGTTTCCTGGTATAGAGGGCATTCCTATACAAGTTAGGACTGAAACTGAATAAATACTTACGAGTAAAAAATGTTGAAGCCAGTTAGGTTATAGGCAGCATCGCTAAAAAAGTGCAGCAGCGCATAGCCAGACGTTGTGACAACCTCAGGCACCGTCTCGTTGCCTCTCACTTCAGGGACGATCAAGCCACTAAAGTAGAGGAGAATTGAGAATTGTAGGAATCCACTGTGACTCTGCACAGAAAAAATGCTCAAAAACATTGTCCAATTCAGGAAGCACACACATTAAACGGGAGAACTAGCTGGACAGCATGCCCCAAATTTACCTGTGTCTACCTGCCGTGGGTCTACTGCTGACAATAAAGTAACTCGTACTCTCACACCTCCTCCCCTCCTCCTCCTCCTGCTCCTCCTCTTCTAACAGTAATGGGATTGAAACATTTCTCCTGTTTGTCTTGCTGTCCATGCAGGGACAGTTCTCCACACTGGTCCCTCACTCAGCTCACACGCGGGCTTCACTCTAAGCCACGCTGAATTTCCAGCAGTAGCTGCACAGCTCTTGCCTCCCCACTGAGTACAAAAGCAATGAGGAAACACTTTATAACTGTTACATGCTTACAGAGAATCTACTCAAACTGGGCTTCCAATAAAACGATGTAGACATCAGCTGCTTTTTAAAACACATGCTTTGTTTCTGTAAAATTCTGCTTATTGTTATGTTAGAACATAAATGTTCCCAGATAGCATTTTCCACCTAGGTCAGTACACAACAGAAAACGGACGTGAAGGGCAGGATAAAAAATGTGAGAAAGCTCTAAGTATCAGATATCGCTTTTGTTTGGTTGGTGGTTGGTTGGTTGGTTGGTATTTTCTTTTTTCAGTGTTTTGAGACACTCTCACACTGCAGCCCAGGCTGATCTTGAACTCCTGATGTTCCTTCCATTTGTCTTCTCCTCTCAAGTGCTGGGTTTACAGTTGTGAGCCACAAACCCAGCTTTGACACGCTCTTCTATTCTGTTCGTACAGAAAAACTACATTCTTCATTTAATTAGACCAAACTATCCTCTCTAAATGTGTAAAAAAAACATGCAATAGGATGAAGAAGTTGAGAAACAAATTGTACAAGTCAAAATAGTGGATTCTTCTTTTAATCAAATTAATTAAATATTTCCATACAGAGCCTACGCTGGGATTTACACATACACTTGCAGAATCACCACAGCCCAGCTACAGCACATGTCCACCATTCGGTGATCGTCTTACACCCTTCACTGCCAAAACTCCTCCACCTACAGCCCCATTCTGTCACTACCTTTGTCTCTTTAGGACATTATAAAGAATAACATTGGTGTATATCTTCTACACGTGACTTATTCCATCCAACATGGCTTTTGAGATCCCCAACTTTTTTCAAGTATCCACAGTCTTTCATTTCTCCAAGTAGCAACAAAAAAAAAAAATTGTCAAAGTTAAAGTAATATTTAGGCATCACTGGGAACCGAATTCCCTCAAACAAATCACATTTAATAGAAAAATGAGATCCTAAAGATGTTTTATTTTCAAATACAAACCAATTTAAAAGTAATCAACCCCTGGTTTATTGCATCTACTAGGTTTGATGATAGAGAACAGATGATATTAAAAGACGATTTTCAACAAAATTTGATTTCTACACCTTCAGTCTTGGCTTTACATACACATGTACTTCCACAGTGGTGTGATTACATCTGTTGTGTAGCTTGTCTTGAAGAGACATACATGGACATCTATTCACCCTCTGAGGCTTAGGCGACACCACAGAAGAGGGGGAGAAAAGAATATATAAGCCATGGGAAGA